GGAAGTTTATGCACCGCGATTACAGGAGCGTCCAACGATTTAGCTCGTCTCTGTGCAGTTGGAGATTGCGTTGCTCCTTGCCTCTGCAATGCACCGATTCCACTCCCCTCTGACAGACCAAGGCGAGTACGGGCGAATGAAACAGCAGACGTCTGCTGACTCTGTTTTCTCAAAACCGCCGGTAACTGTGTTGCATTCTGCGGTACTACGACGCTGCTCTTCTCCGCAAGCTCTTCTTTCCTTCTATCCGTCTTACCAGTTTCACGGCTAATTCGACCCGGTTCTGAAATTATCTGCTGCTGCTGCTGCTGTTGTTGTTGTTGTTGTTGTTGTTGTTCTTCTTCTTCTTCTTCTTCTTCAGCGTCCAGTTCTGCCTTCGATTCTGTCTTTGCTCGGAGCATTTTAGCTTCCTGTACTTTAAGCGTTGAAGGCAACACTTTCGACGAACTAGGCGAACTCAGTTCCGTCGATATAGCCTCTGATTTCTGACCAACTTTCGCAACAATCGTTCTCTTCGGTGATATCTTCTCCGCGGAATCCTTCCTCTCCGTACTGCTACCCAAACTCTTGGAAATGCCCAAAGACTTTGGCCTCGATTTTTCAGGCTTCGCCGTGGCCGGTGGAAGTTTAATCAGATCATCGTCGACTGAGGCAGATTTTGCTCTAGTATCCCCCTTGGTCTCCTCCCTTTCTTCCTTCGAAGCAGAGTGTGCCTTCTCGGATAGCCTGGTGATTGACTTGGATCTACCTTTCTGAACGATGCTCACTTCCGGAGCAACGTCCGTCGAATCAATTATAATGATCTCTTGAGGCATCTCACTCAATTTTAACTTAGACTTGTCGATTTTCGTGCTAGGCGTTGGTACACGGGATTCCTTCGAACTAGCCTTCTTTAGAGGAGGCTTATCGCCTTCCAGTGACTTCGATTGTTTCTTGAAGTCCTTCTTTGGCTCCGGTTTCACTTTTTTCACCCTCTTTGGCGACACGTCTGCCGGTACAAAGTGTTTGTTCTCGACCTCAGGTGACAGCAACGTGTCGATCGGAGCCTTTTCCTCCGCCAACGATAATGATTTCGAGCGCAGAGGCTCGCCGTGTGGCCTTGACATGTAAGGAACGAATTCAGGAACTTTAAGGCTATCCTGCTCTAACGCGGGCTTCACAGGCACTTCGTCCAGAGGCAGATCCGCGACTGGATCGACGAAATCGTCAAATCCCGTGTCGATAATCTTTGGCCTGGCGATCCTCGCCTCGAAAAACTTCGACTCTATCTTCTCCAAGATCCGCTTCGTTTTCTCCGGGATGCTCGGTTTCTCCAGAGTTGGTTTTGGTTTCTCAGGAACTTTTGATTTCTCTGAGACTACATTAGTCGACGTTACTACTTGCGTAATTTCCTTCTCCTGTTGCACCTCTTTCATCCGTTCTACTACTTCCTGTACTTGCAGCTGCATTTCCTCCTCTTTCTCATCTTCTTTTTGCAGAGGCGCTTGTTCGCCGCTACCGAACACACCCACCAGCTGATGATCTTCAGTCACGGGAGAAATTTTCTCTATTCGTTCGACTTCCTTCTCAGCGCTGAGTCTTTTCTCTCTATTCTCGTCCTCTATTTCGCCAAATGGCTTAGGAATTTCCGGCAACGGTATCTTTTCTATACTGTCCTGCTTCTCAAAATTGTCGTCAGGTGTCTTCAGATTGTCTTTCTCCATCTCTGATTTAGCCTTGCGCTCTAACTTCATCTTCATCTCCATTCCAACTACGTCCGCAAAGTTCAGAGGCTTCGTTTTCGAATCTAACGACCTCTGGCCACTCGCAAACCCTTTTCCAAACTCCGAGGGTGATGATCTTTTCTTCTGTATCACGGAGACGATTGTCACATTTGGGTCCGTAGGAGATATTTTAGGCGATCGTTTCTCGATAGCCGATACGATGGTGACGTTAGACTCAATCGGTGACAATTTCGATGGCTTCTTGTCTAAACTGGACGATTTAACGCACGTTCGATCCTCGATCACGATCTCTGTCCTACCTTTGTCAAAGGATGCTGATCTGAAAGGATGTTTATCAGGCGGCGACGGAGCTTTCGAACCTGCCTTGGATGGACTTCTGTTGGTCGGTGAAAAACTGCAAACTATATTGTTCACGTCGGTCGGAGATAATTTCGACGTAGGACTCAGGATACTTTTTGGCTTATCGGACGGGCTTGAGAGTATCGATTTTGGTCTAGTAGGTGTAATAGATGCGCTCTTTGGCTTATCAGGCGAGAGCTTGTTGCTATTGGTCTTGTCTATCGAAGAAAGTTTGGACAAGTCGAAACAGGAAATATCTGTGATCATCTTCAAAGGCAGTTTGGGTAGATCTCTAGCAGCACCGGCTGTTTTCTTCGACGTCTTCCCACTATCAGACTCCGATTTTTCATCAGACGCAGTACCATTCATCACGTGTCGCTTATGTAACGTATAAGGTATCTCGATGTTCGTCCTCGGTATAGTGGCACTATCTGAAAATGGATCCTCATCTCCAGAATCCGCTGGCGTCAAATCGATCGACTTCTGGTGCATCAGTATATGTCGTTTACTGTTCGAACCTAATCTTTGTCGGGCAGGATTTGGATCGCTCTTGGTACGCTCAACGGGAGTGTGACCGGGTATCGTATCATCGAAACCCAATACCACACCTCCAACAATCTTTGGCTCGTATTCCGTGAACACGGTCTTCGACTTGAAATTCTCCATTTCCATATGCACACCTATCACCGTATCAGTCCTCGATTCTATGGATAGCTTAGCTTGACGTTCTCTCTCACGTTTTTCCTCATCTTTCCGAGCTTTCTCCAGACTCCTCCAGTCATCCCTCTCGCGTGGCTTCTCTTCAGACTTGCCGCCCTTCTCCGTTCGTCCTTTGTTGTTCTTCCTTGATTCCTTGTACTCGATCCTCTCTATACTGCTTCTCCTCCAATCGTGCGACTCCTGCTCTATACCTTCAAGACTTCTTCCTCCTCCTCCTCGTCCTCCTCCTCCACCTCTCGAGTCAAAACGATCCGTGTATTTCCTTTCCCAGGAATCTATTTGATCCGCGTGCTTTCGCAAATGAAAGTCCAACTTCTCGATAATTTTTCGCGCGTTTCTCATCTCCGCTTCTCGATAGTACCCTTTGTCCTTTGACGCGTTGTTACAACGTTCCAGTGATTTTAATCGTTCGATCGTCGCAGGATCGAAGTCGAACGTTGGTTTTTCTTGAGAGTCTAATCTTTCCACGCTCTTTCCCCGGTGTTCTCTACCGCTTAATCGCTCGAACGGACTCCTATTCCCTGTTGCTTCGACTTCCAGGACTCTTTCTCTTCTCCTTCGAATCTAATCGTTCCATGCTTCTCTCTCGGCGTTCTCTTGCTTCAGAATACCTATGACTTCTTTCCTTTGGGCTTCGATTCAAGTACTCTGTGCTGCTGCGAAGTCCCTGAGAATCTAAACGTTCGGCACTCTTACCTCGCAACTCCTCTCGTAGCCTGTCATAACTTCTCTCTCTAGAGGCGTCCAGCCTCTCCATGCTTTTTCGTAATTCATCTACTATTCGATCCACACTACGACGACTATACGAATCGAACTTTCCATCTCGGGAATCCAATCTATCAATCGATCGACGCTCCCTCGAGTCGCTCTTCTCCATCTTTCTACTGTACTCCCTAGAATAGTCTCTTTCGCTGCCGTGTTTCCTCTCCTCTCGGTCCACGCTCCTACGTTCTTTGTCTTGTAACTTCGGAGGGGCTAGGTCGATGTCACGATTTAATTTTCTGTCTTTACCACCACTACCACTAACACCACTGTTACTTTTATGTCCTCGTCCTAAACTACCCGTTTCCACGTACGCACGCGACACGTGCTCCTCTAAACTGGCAATACTACGCGCCCTCATTGTCCTAGCCCTCATGTCTAGGATCGTCCTACCAGTCGAATCGACTGGACTCAAGTCATCGTCGATCCGAGATTTTGGACGCATGATACCCTCGTCCCGTAAAATCTCCGAATCTACGTGAGTGATCTTGTACTTGGGCTTCAAATTTTTCAACTCGTTAAGCACGCAGATTTTTTGCTTTTGCACTTGTAACACGACCGGATCTTTCCTCCCGGAATCCTGATGCGGAAGAGAAATTTTATTTTGTTGTTGTTGTTGTTGCTGTGGCTGCTGTTGCTGTTGCTGAGGTTGTTCTTGCTGCTGCTGCTGCTGCTGCTGGTCTATCGAATTAGCGTGACGCGTCTCGAATTTTCGCTCGATTTCTGTGCTAGATCGTTGTATTCGGGACTCGACGGTGATATAATCACCATCCGGCTTTACGGGCACGGCTGAGTACCGATCGATGGATTTTGTCCTAGCATTCTTAAGGTCTGCGAGTACAGATTTGAATTGGTGTTTGTCGGATGATTTAATGGATCGATGCTTGACGAAGGAATCGGTCTCAGAGTCCATTTGGAACATCTCGTGTTCGATCCCTTCGTCGCTACGATCCGAGATCGGCTCGTTCTCGTCCTCATCGTCTCGCGGGCTCGAATAAGATTCCGGATATTCAAATTCGTGCTCGCGTTCCAATAACTCGTAAGAATCATGCGAGAGATCGTCATGAGAAAGATCTCCAGCCGGGCCAGACTCCTCGTGGCCAGATTCAGTGGAGAGCGACGATGTGCCCGGGTAGGAGCTGCTGTAGACTCGGTCCGGCACCGAGTCGTGATCTAACGAGGGCAATTTCGAGCTAGCAGCACTGTATGAACGATTACTCTCGTCGTATCGCGTCACGGGATTATCGAGCTCTCCTTGGGAAGGTAAGCGGAAAGGTTCTAAGATAAGATCGCCGCCAGAAGAAGGTTTCTCGTCCTTCGATCGCGCTTTCCCTGAATCCTCGAAGCTAGAAGCGTACAATTCGCGGCAACTCGCCGATCGCTGCCAGGGATGTCTGGGCATAGGTCGCGGTGGGGGAAATTCAGGAGGACTGCTGTTAGAGGGGCTGATACGACCTGCTGATGAAATCCGCTGTTGGCTGGCAACAAGCATCGGCCGCGGTGCTGGGACCTGGTTGGGTGTGGCCGGGGAATGGACGTCGATGGAGGTAAGTGTCCGAAACGACGTAGCTGTGTCTTCGCGACGGTGAATCGTCCCTCCCATCGAGACACTCGTCACAGTCGTCGGAGAATCCAGTGTCATCGAGCCGCATGACAGAGACAGAGCTGGGGTTTCCAGGGCTGAAATTATCATTTCCTCCTTGTTAGCTCCTCCTTCTTCTTTCCCTCGCTACTTTTTTTCTTTTTTATTATTTATCCCTCGTTCCCACCTTTCCCCTCCAACTTTCTTCTTCTTCTCTTTCTTACTTTTTCGCAAATCAGTTGGACTCGATCGCATCGCGAAAGATCTTCGAGCTTTCCAATATGGTAGATGACGTGATGCAAAGCTCGGAGATCTTTCCTACCACGACGACGATGAGCCTGTACCGTTCACGTTACGTTATCTTTTCTCACGTTAACGTGATCAAGCCGATATGATGTAGGTAAGTAAATCATTCGGGTATGATCGTTTACGATCGAAAGCATTCTATTTGCAATTACGCTAAGTCTACTGTTCTACTCTTACAATACTTTATATGTACGATACTCCAAAAAGGAAGAAAAGTAATAACGCTAGGGAACGCCACGAACGCCAATGAACGTAAACAGAATTGAACGGCAGAGCGAGAGGGACGAGAAGAAGAAGAAGAAGAAGAAGAAGAAGAAGAAGAAGAAGAAGAGGAAGAAGAGGAAGAACAGGAAGAAGAGGAAGAAGAGGATAGAGAAAGAACCGATCGAAATGAAAAGAAAAGAAAAAGGAAACAGAGGCAAAGAGTGAGGATATGGAAAAGAAAGCATTTCTCGTGGAGGTTGGTGTCGGTCATGGTACATACCAGGATCGCCGAGGGGCAGGAGGGGGTGGGCAGAGATGCTGGAGCTGCCCATAAGGGAGCTGCTTGGAGTGGCCCCACGATAGCCTCCCCCCTCCAAGCCCTGCAATGCCCTACCACCGCTAGTCTGCCGGAACGAATTGGACCTGCGAGCAAGAGAGAGTCAAGTTCAGCATCAGACTTAGGCTACCAAATGCCAAGCCTGTTCACAACTAACTTATGTTTTTCGCATCCTTTTTCACCTTTCTATCATCTCTCGTCAGATGATATTTGGTTTTTTCGTTACGTTTATCGCAGTCATCGTTTCAAAAGTATCCCGTAGTCGTTGCCATT